CCGATAGTGTATTGGATATGGACTCTGTATTATCTAGAATGCACTCGTCAGTATAAAAATTAACAACCGAAATTAGAACAGACTAACTTGATTGCTGAAATTGTATACAATCATCATGTCGGTTGTGTAGTGAAGCCGCTGATATCTAGAATTCACATCATAGACGTTCCATCACTATCCCTCCCCACGAAACAATGTAGGGTCTTTATGTCGCAATGTTATAACCAATATGACGTTCCCAATTAGCATTATCTTCTCAAATCTCATGCTTCGATTATTATATGTGAGTATTTGGGGATACACAGTGATATATAATTTGACGTATTCCATCATGTGACTTTAACTTGCGTAAAAATTATGACACATATTCATTTTGTTATTCATATTAGAATACACAGATAAATATGTGCAATTAACACATATGATTCATCTAGGCTTGATTCACCTGAGAAACAATCAAATGAAAACATGCATCTGCCTCATGCTCATTAAGGTAATCTTGGAATTGATTTCGATTTTCTGTCTGTGCAAACTTCACATCCGGGCAAACTGGTTCTCTGATTACTTCGAGAAAACTTCTCTCTGATTCATTATACCACTGACCAGGTCCTTCCTCGCCAACATCAGATACAATAACGTCAGAAATGTGACTAGAATTCGACTCATTCGGAACATATTTGCTATATTCATTAGGGATATCTATAGAATGAGGACCACTGGCACTTGATATGATATCAGAATTTGATTTTTCTGAAATATTTATCTACAATTTATTAAGAGTTTCATTAGAGAATAGTGGAACATTAGGAAAATCACCATCTACCAAAACTGAAACCAGTTTTTGATCATAATTTTACTCATTCAACACATCATTCTCACAATTGTAAGAAATTTCATCAGAAATATGTGAATCATTATGATAAACTATATTTGGTACAATAGCATGAGAAATCTGATAAGAAGTTGGTTGATTGGAAACTTTTGTCTCACAATGTTTCTGAGTTTTATTCAACTCTGGACTATTATGTGACTGTAGTTGCTGCTTCCCTTTGTCTTCTGATATTATACACCGTTCAGATTGTTATAATAACGGTTATCAAGACGATCGATTAACGAAGCACTACACGACATATTGGTAAACCCGACGTACGAACACGCAACACATATTGGCGATCCCGAATTACGAACGCGAAGCAAAGTTGGTAACTTCAACGTACGAACTCACAACATATTGGTTAGCCCGAGATGCGAACAAGTAACAAAATTGGATGCCTCGCCGAACGAACACTCAACATATTGGTTAGCTGTATTTGGAACACGCATCAGAATTGGCGACCGCAACGAGCGAACACAAACCAAAGATGGAACCGTCGACGACATATTCCGTTATGATTCAAATAATCATCACAAGCTCATTATTACAATAATGTCATATAATCATCTAACGTGGAATTATTATTTTTGTTCGTATTGACATTAAACTATGACATTTACGCGATCATATCACTAATCGAACAAATTATAATGATATGGACATTACATGTTATGATATTCGAAACTCACTGGATTATTTTTATTATCCAATGACGTACAATTTTCCTGATTCAAGTGAGTTCGTTCCAATTTTTTCATGTCATTTTCGGTCTAAGATAACACTCTATCATAGACATAAGTTTGGAGTCATACTCCCGATAGTAGGAACTTATGTTCTCGATAGACAACTAATGTTCATTCATTTCATTGGTACGCAGCAATTGTCGTTTCTTACATTTTCAGCGACAATCTAAACCGAACTTTCGCAATTTTTGTTTCACGATGATCCCTACTTTAATGTTTATACACAAATCGAGTATTCGACGCCGCATTACCAGCCGATTAGTAATAATTATTTTCATATTATCTATTTATTCACATTTATATCTGAATGCTGCATCATTCATTACCGATAATCGCTATTCGATCGCTGCAATTAATATCCTATTTCCATTGCACTATACACCAGAACATAGAGTTTAGAGCTAGTCTCTCAAAGATACACTCTTGTTCGTCACATTCAAGTCAGTCTCACTCGCTGTCATCGACAATCATATGTATTGGTATTTTTATCATGCCTTAAAACGGTTTCGTAACAAATGAGGTTGAGCGCATATCCCTCTAACTACACAAACCACGCTAGACTTCTAGACCAAAAAGGAATACGACTCCGCATATCTCGTCTAAGCAGTCACTATCCTGTTCCTCTGGTCATTCTACTAATACATATTTAACGATAACTCAACGCAAGTGTTAGCGCACGCTGATTTCGCATTTTACTATCATGATCAATTGCAGTACAGCAATGAATACCACCTGTTGATGCAGTCATCTTCCTACGGCTGGATTATTTCTTATCCCACATAAACTTCAGTTATGTAAATTCGAATACACTCATCGCTAAGCGACTCTATTTACTCTACTGCGACTTATCAGAAAATCATATTTCACTGTTCTTCATTCTCATATTCAATTGGCACTACAGACCAATTTTAATTATATCCTACATTACTTATTTCCACGATTTATTCCGCTGTCATACCCATAAACAATTTGTTGCTCTATTTTCACGATAGTTCGAATTGCTCATACAAACATGTTATTTTATCATCCGGACAGTGACGACATAAATGCATGTTAAATTTTTTGTACGCTTACTAATTTACTCATAATCACATGCTAACATTTCCATTTCTGTCCTCATTTTGACAATTTTAATGTACATTTTCACATTAGTGTGACATTTTCGTTTAATAAACTCGCCCCTCGATCGACACTGTAACTTATTCGATATAGTACCATTTTTTCTCTCTACATATTATTAACGTTATCCATATGCCATTTCAGTGTTATTTTCAAATTAATGTGCTAATACTTTAATTTTGGTTTGTGAACGCATATACACCTCCTCCCATTTGTTTATTTTGCATAACAGTGTTTCCTCCGGACACTCTGGGGGGGAGCTATGTGGGGAGTAGTGTAACGTCGTGTACTATATTACACCTACATAGCTTATTCTAGTTTCTGGACAAGCCAATTCACCTATAACGTTATGAGTTATATTTTGATCATATTAATTATTCCCTTATTGACCTTGACTATTTTTTTATATGAGCGTATGTGCATGCACACTTCTTATCCTACCTATCACATGTCTGTCATTCATTTTAGCCTGACTATAAATGTTGATTAATGCTTGCTTTTAACGAGTTGGCTTCCCAGCCATCTCCACTCTGCATCATCTTTCCTTCGCTTGCTTACATTTGCTAATGTGCTCACTGCCTTCTAGCCCATGTTATTTATCAATAAAAATGTAGTTGCTGCTTCCCTTTGTCTTCTGATATTATACACCGTTCAGATTGTTATAATAACGGTTATCAAGACGATCGATTAACGAAGCACTACACTACATGACATTATACCGCTCCTAGAAGTCTTGGATTAAGATACGTGATCACTGCGAACATCCAACTTAATGGGATCACAATCACAATTTTTAGCCTTGATTTCAGCGAAATGAACCATGGTATAACAAACTGACTGAATGTGTCAAGTTTTACCACATTTAAAGCATTTAGAATTACGAAATACACATGAATTACGAGGGTGAAACTTGCCACAGAACAAGCATTTACCAAACTCGTGCTCACCTTTGTGAACTGTTTCACAACTCAATGAATTGTTATCTGAATAACCTCGATTACGTAATACACTGCGGTGACGTAGTAAAGTGGTGGAATTCCTGATCTTCTGGTGAGTCATTTCATCTAATTTCCTCCTCTACCGCATTCGAAATTTGTGTACTTTACATTGTCCTGCAGTATTTCCTTGAGAGTTGCATAAGGAAGTGAAATCTGTTTGTCTGGAAATGCCAAAGTCTTTATTATGCTGTATGCTTCTTTTCTGATGAACGCAAAGAAATATCGCTTCTTTTAATGCGCCTGATCCAGAGAGGCTCTAACTGGAGTTATTGACGTCTGTAGTGGTAATCCTTGTCGTCGGGGCACTACAAAACGCCCTCAGTGAATCGCATTCCAAAAATAATATGCAACTACTTTCATTTAATGTCTGTATTAAGTACCATATCCAAACAAATTTCTTGAAGTTCTTCAAAAGGAAAGTTGATATATCTTATAGACTAAGGACACAATGTTATATTAGTCTATTTTTACTACTGTAGATCACCAACATAGGTGGTCTGTGCCGAAGATTGAAGGTCTATTTGGACGGGAATGCTGTGACCCTACAGCCCATGTCCACGCCACACCTCACGTTTAATATATGACGTGGATTACCCTTACGTCACATTCAGACTCTGTAGCTACCTCCACAAATATAAAGCACGAACACCATCATTACACAAATATATCAGCAAGATTAAGCACAAGGAACAGTGTGTCCACTGCAACACCAATCACTCCGCAGAGTGAATCTGGTTGATATGCGTTGATTGCACATGACTTTGGTGCGAATCAAAAAAATGTTTGATATTCAATGATCCAACTGTCGGATAATTTTGCTAGGGTTCAGTGACATTTCACTAATCCAAAACTTCTTTTATGTCAACCTATTTAGTACACCTAGACAACTACCCGAAGGCGTTGACTATCTGTTGCTACTAGATATAGGAGCTCTTCAGATAGAAGATTTTCAGTACCAACTCAAACTTTTACCAAATATTCGGAAACTTACAGAAACAACGAGAAGCGAGAGCAAAGAAATTAATCGGTATAAACAAGCTCGCGACAATAATACTGGATTTGAACCATTTGAACTACTGTATCTAAATGACGTTAAAAACATCATTGATAATGACCAAAGAATCTAGAAACACCTCCTAATATCAGCGAGTAAACGCTACAAAATCAACTTCATTACATTAGCTCGTTACCAAGATATAGTATATTGGCTTAAAAGAAGCGGGTCATGTGTCCTTCGAAGGCTCCCGCAAAGTTCAACTATCTGAGATGCAAGTTGGAACTGCAACGTCGGTTCTAAACCCTACTTCGGAATATTTGAATAGTCAAGGAACATGGGTCACGTATATTTTAGTGATTCTGGTAGTGCACTTCATTTTGCTATGTGTTCCACTCCTCAGTACCGCTGTTGTTTGGACGTTAACATGTACATTTCACAATATCGTATGTTCTTTTCATTTGTAATTACCTACTGTCTAGAATTCATTTATGCGCTATAAGTTTTATTTTTAACTCCACGCACGACTAAAAGTTATTTACCATATAGTAAAACAATTTAAGGTATAATGAATCGTATATCAATATTAAAGCCCATTATAATATTATCCAGGATTCATCCTAAATCATGAAAGTTTCCATGGTACTTCACCGTTTATCGTATCTAATTATACGCATTTTATTCCATTCATGGTCACTAATTGTCTATCGAACTTTTAAACTTGTAGATTCTTCAAAGTTCATTTAAAATTACTGTCTATACTTCTAGCTGAAATACATTTTCAAAATCCATTGAAGTATTGTTTTGTTTACACATCCTCGTAACACAGTTAAAATCTTTAAGTCATGGCTCACCATTGGTACCAGAATAATCACTGTAACTACGAAATGTCATCTCCGAGTTACGATTTTGTGAGTACAATTTTTGTACCCATCTAGGGCTGATCATTTGAGAGGACATTCGAAGAAAATCCAAAAACCAAGATCAAATCGTCTACGTCTGGAGTTTCATTTCTCGCACCGAGTAATGAATTACTGGAATTCCCTGCCAGAACACGTAATATCAGCACCTGTTGATATTGGACCTCCACAGTGTAACAAACTGCAAGGATTAAAATAGGTCAATAGACTTCCTATCCTTATTACTGAAGACTAAAGATGATAATGTGCTTCATATAGTCCAGGTTTACGTAATTGGCTTCAGACCTCATACAGATTTTAGCTAGTGATGCTTCTATGCTACACAACTCAGTGGTCGGCGGAAAGTCCAAACTTACGAATTGTTCTTTTAAAGCTGAGTGATTTGACCAAACCATGGTTCATCAGGACCGTTTTATTTCACTAAGAGTATACCTTAAAATCCATGATGTCTGGTGGCTTAACAAACGAATCTGAACTATTAAAGCCCAATTAAATGTAAGGATGTGCTTCTTTAAAACCTTCCTTTGCAAATATCTCATTTCAACAGTTACAAGATTGTTGAGTATTTTCGTCATCCGTAGAAAGCACTTTACTATTAAGTTCCGGTGCAGCTGCGGTAATCCCAATGTGCCTCAAGTTTTGCTTCGACTTCAATCGTGATATCTGCTAGGATATTCTCAAATTATATCTGAGTCAATGTTATTACAATTAAGCCGTATCCTATAACAACATTTACTTCATATCACTTTATTCATAGGTTATGTATCGATTGTTACACTGGGAGAAAGGCAGTCCTTATGAAACATTAGATCAAGGAGAATCTCGTGTCCTCACTCAATGGGAACAGTTTGACGATGGTGAACAATTTTCACCGACGAAGAAATTCCTCTTAGTTGTCCCGATTGTTTTGTAAGTTCCAGTTACAACTTCCCCATGTAATTCTACTTATCTCTTCTTACCAGTAATGGTTGACAGTTTTTTGTCATCGATAAAGTTCATTTTAAATTTTATTAAAACGGAGGCGACAAAATGTCAGTGTATCATACGAAACAGATTTGTATTAGTTCAATTTAACACATCACGCGTAGATATTGATAAAAAGTTATATTTATTTAAACATAAATATTGGTACAAAGGGGGACCAAATTTATATGTGCCGCACAAATCTCATTTACTTTGTGTGAGGGCTGTGATACTGATCGGGTGCCCAAACCGAAGCAGGTGGTTTTCTTAGGGAACCACACCCAGAGTCTTTGACCTAAAGGTCTGATCCACGAGACAATTGAGCAACGTAAAGAGATACAGTCCCATGGTATACAGTGACGAACAACGGGTTCATACGCCATTTATTTCCTTAGGATACTGAAGCCCTTGCGCACCACTGGTTTGGGATCAAGGTTTTACAACTCCCCTAAGTGGACCCTCCGTGTCCACCAACCCGTTTAAAGCACCAGATATTAGCTTTTTGTCCTCTCAATTTCGAAAACAACAGCCCCCGCCGCTAGAAGGCATTGAGTAGGACTTCCCTGTCAGAGGCAATATACGCGTGGCCATGAGATAGCATTTCAAGAAGGAGAGCGGACTCTCCACACCCTCGGCCGTACCAAGGCATTTGGGGAAACATAGGGGTGAGTACAACACTATGTTATTGGAGTGTTACATAGATGGAGTGAATAGTCGCAACGTCCTCGAATGCCATGATATGGCCGAGAGTAGGGGGAGTCCTCTCCCTCTTGAAATGCTATCTCATGGCCACGCGTATATTGCCTCTGACAGGGAAGTCCTACTCAATGCCTTCTAGCGGCGGGGGCTGTTGTTTTCGAAATTGAGAGGACAAAAAGCTAATATCTGGTGCTTTAAACGGGTTGGTGGACACGGAGGGTCCACTTAGGGGAGTTGTAAAACCTTGATCCCAAACCAGTGGTGCGCAAGGGCTTCAGTATCCTAAGGAAATAAATGGCGTATGAACCCATTGTTCGTCACTGTATACCATGGGACTGTATCTCTTTACGTTGCTCAGTTGTCTCGTGGATCAGACCTTTAGGTCAAAGACTCTGGGTGTGGTTCCCTAAGAAAACCACCTGCTTCGGTTTGGGCACCCGATCAGTATCACAGCCCTCACACAAAGTAAATGAGATTTGTGCGGCACATATAAATTTGGTCCCCCTTTGTACCAATATTTATGTTTAAATAAATTGGATATTGACCTATGTCAAATTTATGCTACATAAATTCTTAGTCATAATTTAACTTCCGAAGATACCAGCCGGTTTTCTAAGCCCGATCTATACAAAACAAATCAAGAAGACAGATTTTTGACATTTGTATGTTCAATAAGAGGTATAAAATGCTGATAATCCTTCTCTTAAGTAGTCGGTAGTTGCGAACGAATCTAAAGATGTACGACAGGTTTTGCCTACAATTCGCTTAGAAACTTTTTTTTTGACTGTTGTTAGAATGACATTCGTAAACAATAATCAGGATTAAGATAGTAACTCTACTTTAATTGTCAGTTGGCCTGAATACACGTAGCGGACCGGGGATATTACTGACATAGTATTCTACGGATACTAGCAATCCTTCGGAGACAACGATCACCAGGCACAGTGAGTCACCGAATATCTCCAGTCTAGAGAGGCCATCATCATAACAACAAGAAGGAAAATAGGACTTGCTCTATTATCACCTATGTAAATACAAATTTAAAAATAAAATCACACGTAAGGATTACCAATAATTCACAGACGTCCGTAAGAAAGAAAAAATCTATACAGGTTATTGGAATATCTATTTAGCGAAACAAGTGAGAGAATAAAACAACTTAATTGATTCTCAAGAAGCAAAACAAACACTCATCTTAACAAACTTATTTCTAACGAGCACATACAAATGCATTACTGATAAAATATGGTTTGCATTAAATATCCAACTCAGTACGTTTTATGTGAACCATTTTATGTATATGTACAGTTTTCATGCCTTCATGTAAATAATTAATAAATTACTTTTTCCCAGTCACTTAAACATTTCCCCTCATTTACAACTGTGAATACATTGGAATTTACTTAGTATTGTTTGTTTGGATCTTTCCATTGATGTTTTTAGGACCGCAACTGGTCAGTCTCTAATTGGCATATGTGCATACTGTGCGTATTGCCTCGACATAGCCTTAATTCACAGCTGACAATTCCCAAATAGGATGAAACGCGCGTCCTGGATTCCACTGCTAGCCACTATCCATCTGTGAATACATTGGCTTTTGCAACTAAACTGAATTAATGATTAAGAATTAGGTCAAACAGTCAGTCACAAACGTAGAACCTGTACATATGTACATCAGTTCAAGTTGCCATACCCCATTAACACAGAGAGATGAAATTGTCGGGCCAAATCATATAATAGTAGAGGTAGTAAGTGTCAGTGATAATAGTAAAAATCAGACATCGAAGGTACGATTCAAGAAGAAAATATAAGTTAGTGAAGTAAAAACAAAAAACGTTATGAGATATTTTAATCTCAGAATTTGGAGGAAGACTAGGACTGGATGCACCTACTCCATTGCGAAAGACTTTTAGCCATGCCATTTAAAATCTCTAATCATTGGTTACGGTAATCACTCTGACCCCAACCAGGTAGTCTACACCTATTAACATGGCTAAGTCCAACAGTCTAGTTTTAATCCAATGGGGACTCAATGACCTCCATAACTGATTTCCTCCAATCCCATGTAACATCTAGCCATTTTTATTTTGTATCTGACACTTCATTTGTCAGCATGCTACTTTACTCGAGAAAAAAGCTTTCCGGCAAATGGTTTTGTCCTTAACATTGGTTCCTTCAGGGTTCCAGTCGATTATCTTCTTCCATGAGCAACCACCACTTAGTCACATCGTATAATTTGATATCATCTATCGATTTACGTTTTATTCATTCAATTCAACAATCCTCATAAGTCCCTTGTACTATAATTGTCTAATGAATAGGGGGGGGTCTGAGATGTTGACTAACATCTTGAATGTACTACATACAAACACCTCAGGCAGAGTAAGGGCATACAACCACCCCTCTCCATTGTTTCGTCCAAACAGTGGGCTGTTCAATCTCATCATTCCTCTTTAACTTTGCCATCGATGACGTTCTGGAAACAGCTCTGATGGGTCTAGGTAATGGTGATGTGGATCCATTGCCTGAAGAAAGACTTTTCGACTTTGAGTATGTGGATGTTATCGTCTCACTGTGCAATGATACCCAAGCTATGCAATCTTCACTTAATCAGTTGGCGACCAATGTCTATAGATATAGCATATGGTTCGCATCCTGTAAGTATCTGGGTAGCTGCGTAAACGCTGGTAATGGCGTGAGTGATGAAACCAATTCACGTATAATGAAAGTCATAACGACTTATGCCAGTCGAGGCCATCTCCGGAGCCTTTGTGATGTTAGTCTGGCTGTAAAAGGTTGGATCTACAATGCATCGGTGGGAGCAGTTTCGCTCTATATTTGTGAATCCTGGCCTCTCCGAGTTAAGGATGTTAGACGACTCTGTTTGGTTACTGTTGTCTCCAAAGGATTACTGACATCCAGTGGCAACACTATGTTAGTAATGCAGAGGTTCGACATCGTGTTTCCGGACACAGCGACGGCAATGCAATCAGTGTTACCATGTTGAGACACTGACCTCGGTGGCTTGGACATGTCCTATGAACATCGTCTTAGTGAATTTCACATTGTGCATTATTCGTTGACTCTGGGACTGGTCGGAAAAAGCTGAGAGATGGTCAGTGTATGACGTGGTGTTGTGATATGAAAGAAAGCTGTACAAGACTGACTTTTGTTGGTCCTCCATGACTCCCTGGTTGGAGTCCCAGAGATAGTGCAACGCAGTAACTTGAGAAGTTATCATACATGGCTCATAATAGAAACCAGTAGTGATCTTGTTTTAAATTTCTTTTACTTTCATCAAAGTGAAAATAACTTCAACCGAAAAAAACTATTTCTGGCTGTATTTTTCTAAACTGAACTACTTCTATCTTTATTATTATCATTACTACTATTAACAATTTCACTCCCATACACTAATTTCTGTCCATTTTTGCTCCTCCTTTTTTGTGATATTCACGTTCTATTCTCTATTGCTTCACAACTTCATTGTGTGGCGTATGTATATTTGGTGCCCCCTTGTGCCATTATTTGTGTTCAAATAAATATACTATTATAATTTCCAGAGACGATTCCGGCAACCCTAATGAAAAGTTGTGACCAGTGGAGTTCAGCTATGTTTGATCTAAACTAATTACTCACTAATGGCATTCGAAGATGGTTGTACAGTAGCGAAATGATTAGACTTGGAAATACTGACTATTAGATCCCCAAAGCTCTCGCCTCGAGACCTGAAGGTTCCCAATTCATCCTTAGTGTGGTCATGGTTGCACGCAGCTGAAGAGTCCCATACTTGGATTAAGCAGCTGTTCACTACCTCATGATTTTCAACGATTGCCTGAAATCAGTCCATAATGTAAACCATAAAATTCAGATTCGTTCACCTTTCATCATCAATGTTGACCCATATTAAATAAAGTGTATGACTGAAAGACGAGTACATATATTTTTAGTAAGTAAGTAGGTTACATTACTACGCATAAAATAATCCTGTTTTGAATAAACCTCTGAATTTTTTATTGGAAAAGAATCTACTTAGAAGTCTTCTGATTTCATCTCTTTACATAGCCAAATGCTCAAAAATCAACTATTTCAAAGTAGGCGTTGTCTTTTAAACCAACTTTTTAACTGTTTGGAATTTGGTTTACCTACAAATATCTGAATATGGGCTTCACTCATAGATCGCTACCAATCCAAACTGTATCTAATAACTACATTTTAGACAAATGAGAACTTCGTTTTTTTCCAATGTTCGTCTGTTTTTAATACGATCAGCACATTAATTGTAAATAATCAGTCATCTCGAAGCGAACATTTGCGCCTAAACCAAACAGTTATTACACAAAATATAAAATATGGGTAACACAGTTGCACTTATATGAGATAGATAGATATTATCTTATTGATTGCTAATCCATACACTTAAAACAATCGTAGACAACAAATAAGGTCAATGATGACTGTGTTAACACATTTATCTGGGTGATTTAGTTATGAAACTTATTTAACAAATATACTTAATCACCTTCAATACTCCCTCTTAATTCATTGATTTATTGATACTTACTGACTAACAGAACAGTACTGCTATTCGCTCACTAACATTTCATTCTCAAGAGGTCATTTTATAAAAGCACAATAATGTATATCCAGACTACTTTTTGTTATTTGTCTATTATTATTATATATTGTAAAGGTTAAATTGTTCACTATTTTGGCAATGTTATTTTGTCAGGTGAACAATACATTAAAACTATACTTTAATAGAAGATTAAATTATAAAGACCAATAAATTACTTGTTTGTCCTATAAATCATCATCATTAATAGCAAATTCTAAAACGGTTAAGGTTTTCCTTTTAACATAAAAATAACTCATTTCATAGCTATAACCTGTCTAAACTATGTGTTAATGATCAAATAGTTCAACTTTCAACCATTTACCTGCGGGTTCGACTCTCTTAGTCAGTCATTCAGTCGTTATAGCTGACTGACTCTCTCTTATCCATCTACCTGCCTACTTTAATTGAAACAAGATGGTAGATATTATTGTCAGTCTTTATGTGTACACATGTGAAAAATTTGCTTTAAAGTTAGACTATACTAATTCTCGTATGTGAATCGCACATTAAATGGTATCTGAAGTTTATCAGTCAAAACATAACTCAATTTTATGTACAAACGTATTTTTTAAGTGGCCCTCTTGGTTGTTTTTAATTGCTTGTTTTTTTTGCAATTCTTATTTGTAGATTCTTACTTGCAAGTTTCTACACAGAATACGACCCTCTTCATTGTTTTATCAACGCGTCGTCAATGATTGTTCTAGCTGTACTTCCTAAATTGCCTCAGTTTTATAGGGTTCGCTTTTTTGGTATCAATCGTTGGTAGTCCCATTTTTTCTTATGCTCACATCCTTATATTAACAAACCTAATGATGGTAACCGTTAAATTAAATTCGGTGTTTTATTTCTTCCTCTGTATTCGGTTTATTGCATTACAGTTGGAAGAGAGAAAAAAAAGGACATCTCACCCCTTCCGTTTCAAAAAGTGCACAGATACCAGACAATAATTGTTGACTTCCCTTTTTTGCTTTGTGATATTGTGTTCAACCTTCCCTACATACACATATGTAATCTCTTACCAAAAAGAATTGTTCTTTTGATATATATACCCTGGGTATGTTTTTCTACCTTAAAAAAGTATTTTTTTTACTATCATTTTTCACGTTTTGAATTAATATTTGTCTCTTTATAATACTAAGCTGTGGATGTGTTTTTTCCTTTCTATCTTTGTATCAAATTCACTTCTAATTGGAATACAGTTATTATTATCATTAGTATAATGGTTTCATGAAATGCGATCAGTGACAGTTAACCCCAGGAAAAGAGTCAATATGTAACTCCGTAACTTAATTGTATTCGCCGGTGAAAAGTAGTATTTTAACTCCTATATGTTGTACATTGCGTCTATCCATTAAGTTATTGGTTAATTAATATTAAGTACTCTCCAACTCAATGTATTGAACTTTAGAACAACATATATAAGCAAACAATATTGTTTTCGATTAGATCCTTATCAGTAATAATAATAATAATATTTATATGCATATACGAAATTATTAAACCAATCAAGGCAATTTATCAGTCAATGATAACAGTGGAATAGATTACATAATCAAAATTAATAATAAGTGAAGAGTACAAATTGGTAGTATGATGACAGGTGTACTAGTTGTGATAGGAATAATAAAAGGCTTGAATCAATGTTACATAATAGGGAAATAGGTCAATGATTAGAAAAAATATAGACACTGAAATAACAATCATAGAAATTATAAGATTACGTAATAAGAAGTATTCAGATAATTGGACTGTGAAGCGAATATTAGAAAAAATAATAAGTAAATAATTGGTAGGGGGGTGAAGAAAAATAAACGAAGAAAGAGTATGGAAAATAAAATTATTTATTAAGACCAAGGGAGGGATAAGGGTGTTACATTTTAAGTATTGAACTTTGTCGATCATACATAACTCAGGATATTTTAATATAATTGTTGGTCACCGGCCGGATTAGATGTGAAATTATTGTTGGTACATAATAAAAACTTCATTCCCATCTTAGCCTTCTCCCCTTGCATTGAACTGTATCAGTTTTTTTCTATTATAGCAAGTAGTTGTTTTTCCACCATTATAACAAGTAGACATCAACGTTTTGTCTATTTACGTCAACCTATTTGAATTATAACTGAAGTCCTTATCTTTCTTTAACGATGACTGCTACTAATTAACGATTTTTAAGCAACACAAAGCGCCTAGATACTTTAACGAGAAAAAAACAAATGAAGGGTACTACATTTGTGATGATTAAAACATGCAAGGAAATACTTCATTGTGTAATTGTTAGCGATTATTAGAATGGGACCGTAAACTAGCGTATATGTTGTAATTACAGTGGTACATAATATCATAGTGTTCAGTGCATCCTGCTTTCCATTGTTTGTTTGACGAAAATCAGCCTTTGAAGTTAAATATAGAATTCAGAAATCTTCCCAGACCTATAGTAGCAGTTCGGGGTCATGTGCTCACTAGTGACTGATTCCAAGAGGTAATTCCAGTGTTCTAGCGACAAACCACTACCAATGGAGTTCAGTCACGTCAAGCGTGACGTAGTTATTTAGTACCTCACCTACACTTAAGTCTGTTTACATTTAGTTTTGTCAAGTCCTTCAATTAACCTGCTTCGTGGACGGTGTCATTCTAATAGTGACAATTCGTCTGTATCTTTGTATTATTATTATCATCATTATTACTATTATTAATGTCTGTATGAACATGTATGCTTGATTACGTGTTACAGCCTACCCACATTCCTCTTATTAGCTTAAATGTTAATTATGGTAAGCAGAGATAGATAGTGGCTAGCAGTGGAATCCAGGACGCGCGTTTCGTCCTATTTGGGACTCGTCAGCTGGATGTACCTGCATCTCAGAGTTGATGTTCACTCTGAGACTCGAACCCAGTACCTTTCGCTTCAAACGCCATCGCGTTATCCACTCGGTCACTGAGTCCTGATAGCCACTTGCTTGTGCGATGGGGTGAAGTTAAAATTCATTGCAGTCCTAACAAATCGATGGGAAGATTCAAACAAACAATACTCAATGAATTTAAATGTTAATTGTTTAAACTACTCAATGAATCGTTTGCTTTCTCATACATATGCGCTTGAATCTTATCGATTCATTCGACTTTGTATTCGCTCGTTTTTATTCACTCTCATTGGCATTTCTATTCGTATTAACTTTGTTTGCCTGTGACGTGCAATAATGAACTGTAGTCAACGCTTCGTATTGTCTTCTGGAATGTATACGCTGTTAGGAGTTATCTAATAACGGTTATCAGGACGAGTGACATACGAAGCCTTAGGAAATATCTCGTAGATAATCCACTACAATTACCCACCAAGTACGTCGTAAGTCAACCAATTGACTGAAGCCAAGCATCTAAATCACTAGAAGCCAGCTTATTAGCCTAAAGGTTGAATGTTTGCGCTCAAGACCTAGGGCACTTAGCCTACTGGCTATCAAATATGTGGCTTCCTCTCATGTTATTGATTTATGCTCCGAACTCACTGAACGTGACTGCTTATAACTGTGTTGAACAAAGTATCGCCTAGTATTCACCTTGGTTCTCTTTTATTGATTGTGAATCGTGCATCTGGTATGACGTGATCTGATCCCTGTTATGCTATGTACCATTCAAGTATCCAATCCAACCTATGATCGTAGTATACCGCAGAGAAAGAAAATTTAAAATCATCCGTTATATCACTTAACTAAGACCAGTTCTCGGTGTTAAAAATACATAATGTCTAGTATTTGGCATCTATAATGTTCAACTCGATCAGATATTCAGAATTACTGTTTAAGTAAATCGCTTTCGGTGCCAGTGAGATGCGAACAGATTTTCAATGTGACAGAAAGTTCAACTACAATAAATATCCCAACACTGACTATCCACTCAGAAGTCGTCTCTATCTTATTGTTACCAATGTTACAGTTCTCTCTCTTTCGCTTTTATTATTCTTAACTGCTCTCGATAATCCGCATAGTAGAAAATCAGAGCGGAACAATTGTTTTCGAACATATAAGCTAAAACGAAAAAGCTCAACAGTATCCTTCTCCACTTGGGGATTTAACGTGTATTGGTATTTATTATTGGTATAGAAGATTTAGTATCTCACTTATTATAGCGAAGCTAGTAACATGCGATACCGATTTCGTCTATACCATGTAGTCACATTTTAAGTAGCAGTCGTATCAATTGGCCAGAGATGATTCGATTTATGACTATTGGATTTCAACCGCATTGGGTGTTAGGAGATTACTCACCAAAGAAAATGGGAGACGGTCGCGCAATATCGTGAAGTGGTTGAAGTTAGACACCGTTGGATACCGGCCCAGTGGTCTAGAGATTAAGCGTCTGCGCGAGATCGGAGGTCCTAGGTTCGAGCCCCATGTGCATGATCGTGGGTGCATACTGCTATGTCCCATATTAGGACAAAACGGCCGTCCATTGCTTCCGAGTTATCAATGGTAGTGTGACAATGATAGGTCCATGATCCCAATTAAAACTCCACAACCCTATGATGATTTCTATAATTGTTAAATAAGTTATCAGTCTCTGACGTTAAATAATACTTAGTCCAGTTCATACTAAACTGACTAAATACATCATATAAAAACTAGTGCATTCAAATATCATTTTGATTTATTTCGAGTGTCAAATAAATCCTCCTCTATTGTCTCCTTGTTTTTACTTGTGTTATCCGGTTGACGATTCCCAGTAGAAAGCAACCAGTCAGTAGTTAAGTATGTTATAGACACAATATTAATAAATCCTTCGAAGGAGCGGACAGTTTCAAATGGTTATCATAAGCCTTCATAGATAAATATGGGTCATGTAAACTCTGTTAAGATACGTCCTAATTCATTCGAATTTCCTCATCCTTTTCCATAGCTTATTCACTGTTCTTCCTTGTAGATTCTCAACTACACTCTCTCCCGGTTACACTTCATAGACTTTCTAATAAAATCCCTTCTTTCAACTTTTCTGTTCTACACTCAATTATATTTGAAGCGTATTATGATGTTCTAATATATTCTTCCGCAGCTTCACAACCATCTATGGTGCTACTAAAGAATTGGGGCGCTATGTCTATTTTACGCATTTTTAGTCTTTAAATATTTATCATGGATCTCTCTAATCGGAATAGACCTTTAATATTTGTAAAAACTATGCTTAACTGTTGTTCTTTGGCTATACCATTGCCATTATATTAGTTTTTAGTTAAGTAGGACTAGAGACTTCAATTAGAGTGCAACATCTCCATGCTTAAGAAAAGTTTACCGAATGAGTTAACCGGTGATTTCAGTTCATAATTTCCATTATATACTCATCATTTTACAAAGTGTTCCTAGCTTTTATTGGAATATAACTAAAACTTACGAGGATATTTAAAGACACATTCATCCACCTAAGAAAAAACTGATTATTGTCCAAGACTTTTACCACACTGTAAGTAATACGGGCCAGCATTCTTTATTCCCCCCCCCAATCATGGTTTCTAAAATCGCTTTTTATTCTGCGAATTCTTTCTTCTCAAATCAAATTCCCCATACGTCATGTTTCCTACCGTCTACTACTATCACCACTGTCCTTATATGCTGTGACACATATGTGTACACATGACCTACGTTACCTAGGACAGATTGAAGATGTAATCAAACACTTAGCTGAAAGATAGTATTAAATAATCAGCCGGTGATTACATTTTTTCCTGTGAATTATATCGACGTTCAACAATAATCTTTATACTCTGAATTTTCGGAC